ACTCATATCTACTCTTTGTGAGAGTTTTATTCCTGAGTGTTTAAGTGTTTTCATACACTTTAAGGGAGGTTGTTCCCTTGTTGTAAACTCGAAGGAAGTTCCTTGTTCCTTCGTGAGAAGTCTTGGAGTGCGGTATCTCCGAGCAAAGGTGTTGAGGCTCGTGTGACTCGGGTTCTCAAGTTGTATCGGTTTGTTAAGCACCCTTAAGCTTAACGGAGTTAGTGTAGCTCGAGAGAGTCTCTCGGGGGCTGGATTAGCCACACGTTGTGGTGAACCAGGATAAAATCCGGTGTGTTCCTTCCTTACGCTCCTTACTTTAACGCTCTCGTTTTAATTTCCTGCGATTTTGTTTTAAACGCTATTCACCCCCCCTCTAGCGTTGGGCCTTTATTCTAACAGAGCACTGCCTAAGGACCTGTACCTACGTTAATAACCTCATAATGAGCCGGATGCAAATTAACATAAGCATGAATTCAGTTATAAAAAACCTTTTGAACATACAATATACTTGGACAGCCAAATACACTATATGCCATTTGTTGGACCCCAAATAAGAATTTCAGACTGAATAATTGAGGCTTGAGACCTACAATCAACAGTTTTGAGAAGCTGAGCACAAAACAGGATTAAACAACCTTCAACAATTGTCTAAACCTCAAATCAAAGCAATGATCACAAATGCCTAAGACTGATCCTAAATTTCCACCAGACAAGAGAGGGATTACTCTCGGGACATGATCGTGATAATCAATTCACAATTTAAACACATGATCACAGGAAAATATTGTCCAAATAAGAGATCAGGACTCGGATTTGAATAGCACGAAATCACACATTCAATTATGAATCAACAATTAAAACAATCCTCAAACATCAAGACTGTATCTCGAATTTGGAAACAAAAACAACGAAGTACCTCTGGACAGCGTTCGAGGATCAAATCCTGCGAACGTGATGACTCCTCTGTTCGGCTACAGTGCCTGATCAGGAGAAGCACTTGGTAATTGTGCGACGGTTGATGATGATCGCGAGGTCTAACTCGCCGGATTATGCCTGGTCGCCGGAATTTTTTCTCCCGGTGAACCTTCGATCTCACCTTCTCTCTCTCTCGTTCCTTTCTCCTCTCACCCGTCACTCCCCTCTCTCACCAACGCCCTAAGTCTTATACTAACTAATGTGCCGGGTTGGTTATTTTCACTTCGGGTCGTCAAGCCCGATTCTAACATTTAACCCAAAGGACCTAAAATAACACAAGAATAGCACTCTAACCTCTAGGATGGTCAACGTTCTTTCTTGATCTTAAATTAAATCAAATTCTCACTAATGGTGACCCAAAGATTAGTAAATGTAAGGGAATTTAAAGACTATAAAAGAGCCTAACACTAGCAACACATTATTGCCCCTAGATTATAAGTTAAAACGTTTGCACTGTCAAAACCTTTCCACGACTCAGACTCCGTGTAACTGTATCCCTTTGTCTCAATGTCTAAACTCAATGCAAGGGATTAATAAAATCCAACTTGTATCCATTAAGTCATTCACTGATTTATCAAGTCCGACTAATAGGAACAGACATCATAAAAGCATCTCAGCATGGCCATGCAATTTCCTTAGTCATAACTTATCAGTGGGCCCCATAAGACATTAATCTCTTTAAAAATAGTGACAAATCCTATGTACGTAATCTATGTTTCTGAATACGCGCTGCGGCATACCCAAAACAAAGCCTGTATACCACCCTTATTACTATGGCTTAGGACAATGCATCAAAGTATGCGGGTTCACATATGCAGAAAACGTAATACTTCAAGTCGAAGGATAGTTACACCCGTGGTCGCGCTAAAGATGCTTAGAGCATGAACTACAAATTCAAGCAACATCTTTAGAATGGGTCAGTCCGGCATCCTATTATCTCTAGATAATATCTGCCCATGTGCGGATGCGAACACACCGTCATTGACCATGAGACTAAGTCAAACATCCAACACACACTAGTCTCACATGCATTAACGATATCCCACTCTCGTTAATACTCAACTATGGACATTTAGATAAATATTTATTTCAAGATGTTAGTCTCATCAGCAGAATAACACTATCTGATAAACATCTTTAAATATAAATCTAGGAATATAATATTTGTTTACATTAGCATGAGATGTGTAAACATATTATATCTGCCTATACATAATAGAATAATGATAAACATTTGGCCATCAGGGCAAACTCCAACACCTCACACTAACCTTTTGTTTATGGGTAATTTATCTAAATAGGACTAAAACGTAATGACTTTCTCAATATATGACCATATGTTTTTATTTCTCAATGTACGACCATTTGTCATTATCTACCAGTCATTATTCAACTAAATGTCTAGAATCACTTGGACATTATTCTTCTCACTATATATTATTAAGTCTTTTTAGGGAATAAAAAAGTTTAAGGATTTTCTTTGGTGCCTTTGTAAATGAGAGGGCATCCGTGCCCCTCCATTCATTAGATGACATTTGTACTTTTAATGACACTTAATAGTCAAAAAGTTTAATTAATAAGATTCTATTAATTATTAAAAATTGTTAAATAACCCCAATTTCTCGAGAAGTTTGCATAAACTTACCCACTTTTGTCCAATTGATTTGCAATACTATTACTCCGTATTACTTATTATTTTATCAACTATTTCTCTTTTTTAGCATTTTCTAGATAATTATTAGTATTATTTTATTAATTATTATTTAATTTACTCACCATTTACATTAACAAATACTCCTTCCGTCCCGTTTTAAATCGCATGTTTTGACTTTTGGGCATATTTAAGGAAAAGAAAAAATAGAATTGATTTTTCGAAATTGTCATTACTTTTTAGAAGGGGTGACTATGAATTTGAAGACAAGGTGAAGAAGAGTGACTTATTTTAGGGGTAGTTTAGGTATTTTATTTTTAAAAGTTTACAATAAAACCTAACATGCAATTTATTTTGGGACGGAGAAAAAAAAGGCAAACAGGAAATTTAAATTGGGATTGAGGGAGTAATTGCTATTTAATTTTCTCAATCTCATTATTCTATGAGTTTTATTAATTAATTACTTTTCATTGAAAAACAGAAAGAATTGAAAAAACTAGAGAGAATTAAGAGAAAAAAGAGTTGGAAAAAATTTGAAAATGTTGAAAAATGGGTAAGATCATGGACAAATTGGAAAAAGTTGAAAAATGTTTGATAAAAAAATGTTGAAATAAATATTACTCCATTCGTCTACAAATTAAATTTCTGTTTCAAACAATTTGAAAAATCTCATGTGATTAATAATATTTTATTAATAAATTGGTAAGAAAATAAAAAATAAAAATTACATATTTTAAAGTATATCAAAATTTTATATGAACATTTTATTTTATGTAATTATCAGTGAAAATATATTTTATAAGTTTTGAAAATATTTCAATTTAATACTCCCTTCGTCCCTCTGTATTTGTTCACTTTTGACCTCTTTTTGGTCAAAATTGATAAATTTAATTCGACCTCAAATTAAATAAAAGTGATATTAATTATTTGATACAAAAAATTTTTTATTAGATTTATTATATAAAATATGTCTAAAATATTATTTTATCTAATTAATATACAATATATATTTTATTTAATTATTATAAGTCAAAGATTGAAATTTATTGAATGGAAAAAGACAAAACTCGACAAAACACTCAGGGTGGCGATAGTATTATTTTATTCACATTAATGATGATATGATGATGATGATACTAATAACAAATACAATTATTTTGATTATATGAAGAATACACCTAAGTAAAGCATTTAGGTGATTATTGAAAAAATAAAAGAATTTAGAAGAAACTGTTATTAGTTAAAAGAAACCTAAATAGATTGGAGGATATGATAAGAAATTAGAAAATATAAAAAGTCAAGAGTTAGGCCATGTACTCTTGAATTATTTCTTGATACTTATTCATTTTTCTTATTGGAACCAGATTAAATCAGACCAGATCAG